CTTCGTCCACCACTGAGTACTTTCATGGTGCGCATGTCTTTTTGACATGTTGATCATGTATATTGTGCTTTTTGGAGTTTGACAGCCATTAGTCACAGTCTACACTTTCATTGTATAGAAAATAGAAAACGCCATTTTGCCAAGCTTCTCCATTCATGTTCCACTTTTTTAAAAAAAAGTCATAAGGGTTTGGAACAGCATAATGATGAGTAAATCAACTATTCCTTTGACACATTCTTAGCATTCTGGGTAAAATAAAGTCTCTGGATGTCAGCTGTGATTAAATCCAGAATGAGAAAGATCAACATTTCCACATGTAGGCTAGAAACAGCAGTGTGACCCGTCCTGCCCCTGGAGGAGACGATCGACTTCACGGCACTCCTTACATGCTTCACATGCCTCTCTCTCTCTCTCTCTCTCAAACACACACACAGAGAACATGAGCAAGTGGGGCAGTGGCTGTCCTGGTTACACAGACCCACTCCCACCATCTGCTGCTGCATCATCACAGCGACACAGTCATTCACAGGAAGTGCCTTCATCCTGCGCTCAGGCATGATGTAGAGGAAGAACAGACAGGGTGGAATAAAGCCACATGGTAGCCTGCAGGCCGTACTGTCATGCCGGGACTTGAACGCTAGATTTAGTGATCGGTTTCCCATCTGAGTCATCTTCTTCTGCGGTCGCTGCTGTAGTATCGGTGCGACTCAATGCGTGCTCGGTCATGCGGAGGAAAGGGTTGCCATTTTACATCAAACCTGACGGGCCGCTTTGCGAACAAATGTTGCACTACCTGTCGAGCAACTTTTTCTTAAGCAATTAGAACGTAATCACACCTTGATAAGCACCTTGATAGTGCCAGTTTAGTGCAGTAGATCTCATCCGTGGTTTAATCTTAAGCACTTCTAACAGGTGTTTAGTATCTTGAGAGAAATACAGGTTCGAGAGACGGGTTAGATCAGGGATGTCCAAACTCGGTCCTGGAGGGCCGGTGTCCTGCAGAGTTTAGCTCCAACTTGCCTCAACACACCTGCCTTTAAGTTTCTAGTATGCCTAGTAAGAGCTTGATTAGCTGGTTCAGGTGTGTTTAATTGTGGTTGGAGCTAAACTCTTCAGGACACCGGCCCTCCAGGACCGAGTTTGGGCACCCCTGGGTTAGATGTTTGCAAACACCTGACACAACTGGTTACAGAGTATTTCACTTTCTTTCAAATGTTCCTTACAGGCTGTAAATCAAGAGTGCACTGAACTCTCTTGACAGAGGAGGGTCATTTAACTCGCAGTCATTTCTAGCAATTAGTTCGGTCACTGCAAAACTGTGCCTAGAAAAAAAATCCAGATATATATTCCATACTGATAAATGGACAATATACAAACAAATAATAAGATCATAAATAAACAAAATAAATTATTTGTAAACATCATTACTGGAATTTTTAATAAAGGCAAATTCTTTCAAAAGAAAATTTAATATTATTTGAGTTTAATAAATAATAAAAACAATTACAATAATAATAATAATATTACAAAATAAATTAATAATAATAAATAAATATTGAAAGCAATTATATACTTACAAAACGTATTATATGAATTAAATTAAATAAAACATAATAGCTTTAAATAAAAATTAAATATGTAATAGCTTATTTAGCTATTATATAACTTTTAATATTCTTAATGACTAGCACATATAAAGACTTGACATATTAACAGTTTGATGTACTTTGATATTTTTAACAGCTGTCTGTAAAATCAGTTTCATATCTGAATAAATTCTTATAAAATGATATATTTCGGTTTCATTTCAGTTTTTTTTTTTCTGGTAAAAAAAAACTTGAGTGAGCTGTTGAGCAGATATGACGAGATACGATAAACTGTGATCTATTAAAACATGACTTTAGCTCAACTATTTTATCTCTCATGTTCCCATATGACACAATTCAGTGCTCTCTCCAAGCTTAAAGGGGTCATATGATGCTGCTAAAAAGAACATTATTTTGTGTATTTGGTGTAATGAAATGTGTTTATGCGGTTTAAAGTAAAAAAAAAAACATTATTTTCCACATACTGTACATTATTGTTTCTCCTCTATGCCCCGCCTTCTGAAACGCGTCGATTTTTACAAAACTAATCGGTCTGAAAAGCGAGGTGTGCTCTGATTAGCCAGCTATCCAGTGCGTTGTGATTGACCGAATACCTCAAGCGTGTGACGGAAATGTTACGCCCCTCACCATACAGTGTTGATGCCGTGTCCGGCCGGAGCAACGACACAAAAACATGAAAACCCATTAC